GGAGAGACGGGTGTTGGGAGAAATTGACGATGTCGTCCTCCCCCGACGCATCATACTCTGGCGGAGGGTGCGGCCAAAGGAGAGCAACATCGAGGTCGCATGTGCCCCATAGGGAGAACCTGCTGGCCTACCATTCGGCGAAAGAGTGCTACTACAACAAGCGTTGGGAAATGTAGTAGGAAAAACATCCTTCGTCCTATGATCTCATCACTATAATTTTCTTAACTAAACTGTATTGCTTTCTCCAAAACCAACATAGCCTACACTTACCCCAGATGCATGAACTAGGTCTGTTATATTTATTCTCATGACACTTGTCAATAGATTCAATGTATTGACCCTTATGGCTGCAAAGTATCATGTTGCAGGTTTTCGAATGACGAGTGAGTGATGCAACGTAGGGTTACAATTATGTCCATACTAAACCTTGTTTGTGAATGTATGGATGTCATTAAGATATTGACGTTTACCACTACATTTTATTGTAAGCTAGCCTTGAGCTAAGAAGGTATACAATGTATTAAAGCCTTGGTATTTCATCGTGGATTGTGTGTGTGCTAGCAATTGATCCAGAGATTAGCACAAAAAGCACATCGATTCGGGTCCTTAATGATGACTGGAGTCATTACATATAGTATCACAGCACATGCAGATGATAAGTCGGGACACTAGGGCCACATGATTAAAAACATATTTTCACACTATTGTACATTTACTACTTTATCACGTACTTCTTAACCCATTGCATTTCTAATCCTCCCCCTTTCAAAATATAGATGACCAGCCTCATCGAATCCATCAAGAAAGGATCATTGATGACCATGAGTTGGAATGTGAGACTAAGTTTCCAAGAGAACTAAAGGATATCATGGTAAGCATGAGACTCAAGGGAGAAGCTATGTACAAAGGATTTCCTATGATGGTTGAAGGATAAGAGATCCACTTGTATGAGAACAAGGAACATGACCACCAGAGACTTGGACTCTACATGTTCACCAAACCAGTACTTCACACGACTTTCTTCGAATCAGCATGATGTGTCGCATGGGAAACCATTGGAAGACTTGGAGTGAGGCCTACATTTATGAAGGAAATATGCCCTAGAGGCAATAACAAAGTTGTTATTTTATATTTCCTTATATCATGATTAACGTTTATTATTCATGCTAGAATTGTATTAACCGGAAACTTGATACATGTGTGGATACATAGACAAAACACCGTGTCCCTAGTAAGCCTCTACTAGACTAGCTCGTTGATCAAAGATGGTTAAGTTTCCTAACCATAGACATGTGTTGTCATTTGATAAACGAGATCGCACCATTAGGAGAATGATGTGATGGACAAGACCCATTCGTTAGCTTGGCATTATGATCGTTCAGTTTTATTGCTATTGCTTTCTTCATGTCAAATACATATTCCTTTGACTATGAGATTATGCAACTCCCGGATACCGGAGGAATGCCTTGTGTGCTATCAAACATCACAACGTAAATTGGTGATTATAAAGGTCCTCTACAGGTATCCCCGGAGGTGTTTGTTGGGTTGGCATAGATCGAGATTAGGATTTGTCACTCCGAGTATCGGAGAGGTATCTCTGGGCCCTCTCGGTAATACACATCATAAGAAGCATTGCAAGCAAAGCGACTAAGGAGTTAGTTGCAAGATGATGTATTACGGAATGAGTAAAGAGACTTGCCAGTAACGACATTGAACTAGGTATGAAGATACCGATGATCAAATTTCGGGCAAGTAACATACCGGTGGACAAAGGGAATAACGTATGTTGTCATAATGGTTCGACCGATAAAGATCTTCGTAGAATATGAGGGGGCCAATATGAGCATCCAGGTTCCGCTATTGGTTATTAACCGGCGAGGTGTCTCGGTCATGTCTACATAGTTCTCGAACCCGTAGGGTTCGCACGCTTAACGTTCGATGACGATATTGTATTGTATGAGTTATGTGATTTGGTGACCGAATGTTGTTCGGAGTCTTGAATGAGATCATGGACATGACGAGGAGTCTCAAAATGGTTGAGAGGTAAAGATTGATATATAGGACGAAGGTACTCAAACTCCGGAAGTGTTCCAGAGCGTACCTAGTACATATCGGGTCACCGGAAGGGGTTCCGGGCACCCCCGGCAAAAGATATGGGCCTATTGGGGCAAGAGGGGAAACACACCAGCCACAAGGGTCTGGTGTGCCCCCCATATGGGCCGGCCAAAGAGGAGAAGGAAAGAGGGGAAGGGAAAAAGGAAAAGTTGGAAGTGCTACTTCCTTCTTCCCCCTTTCCTTCCCCCTCCGGCAATTTATAGAAAGGGGGGGCGCCACTTGGCAAACCCCAAGTAGAATTTGGATCCTACTTGGGGCGCCCCATGGCTGCCCCCCCTCTCCCTCCAACCTGTATATATATATATATATATATATATATATATATATATATATATATATATATATATATATTAGCAGAACATTAGCAGAATAACTATTCTGATAACACTTCCGCACTGCACGCTCAACACAAGTGCACGTCATTGTTTGAACCAAGTGTGCTGCAGTACTCACGCGAGTGAACTTCCCGTCGTAAAAAACCGCATGCTGTGTTTTTTCGGTACCATTTTTGCTCTAGTTTTTTTAACCGGTAATCAGAACGAGGAGTCTAATATACCATTGAAAAGCAATGGATTATGTGCAACTTCTCCACGTTGAACACTTTTCGAGATTCCTCACGGTTTAAGAGCAGTTTTGAAAATGGTGCGACCCACAACAAGTGGCAACGAGTGTTCTGTCGCGTTTTTTTCTAAACCACTCGTCGGAATGAAGCAAATGATACAACGTGGATAGATATTGTCGAGGCGCATCTTTTTCATATCTATTATTTTCTCTCATTCGTTACGGTTTAAGAGCAATTTCAAATTTAGGAAATCACAGAACTCTGTTTTTCAAAAAAATTCAAATTTTCGATACTGTTTTCGCTCCAGGTTTTTAACCGTTTGTCGAAACGAGCCGTGTAATATATTGTTGAAAATCTATGAACGAGGTGCAACTTTCATATGTTTAAATGTTTTTGAGATTCCTTACGATTTTAAGTTAATTTTGAAAGTCGTGTGGCGGACGACGAGTGGCAGCGGCCGTTTTTCGTGAAAATTTTACAAACCACTAGTCGAAATGATTCAAACGATATGCCGTTGGAAATATATCGACAAGGCACAACTTTTTCACGTAGAACACTCTCTCTAATTCATTACGGTTTAAGAGGAATTTCGAACTTACCGAAATGCGGACACTGTTTTTCGCGACACCCAAATCGACGTGGTACTTCATCCGACTGAAAACCGCACTGCATCGGACAAAAAACCGCACTGCATCGAACAGGTAAGAGAACTGCATGGTTTCTTTTTATTCAAACGTAATTTTTTCAAGGACGAGAAAGTAGAGTGCACTTCACATCGGGTGTAAATGAACCACAACACTATCAAGAAGTGAACCGCATTACTTTTTTCGCTTCCGTAACAATTGTTTTGCACTTACGGGATGAATAACATCATACGGCCGACCGCACTGCTTGAGAATGAAAACCGCACTGCATCGGACGGGCAAGCGAGCTACATAATTTCTTTTGTCGGACGTAATTTTTCTCATACGAGTTTTTGTTGTCTTTTTTTAACTTTTTTTATGAACGAGAGTGGACCACAGAGACTAGGGCAAGTGAACCACATCACATATCAAAGTGAACCGCATTACCATCTTGTTGTTTCGCTAAATTTTTCACACTTTCATATTAGGTGCAGGTGAACAACATCACTCTTGAAAGTGAACCACATCAGAGGAGAAAATGCACTGCATGACCAAGTTTTGAAACACAGAAATACATAAAACAGAGTGCACTCTCTCATATGCAAAATAAATGTCCCTCTGTGACATCGAGGCAAGGCAAGCATACTTCATTTTTTTCTCTTTGCATTGCAAACACATAGAATTCGCATCACAGGGATACATTGAAAAATGCATTCACAAATCACAAGAGAACTGCACCCATGGTCTGGCCGAACCTCCTGCCCGCTCTAACCAAACTTCGTGCCGTGGTCGTGCCTGCAAACTTCAAGGCTGGACTGATAGAACTTCACCTGCACGACAAGAGATGGGCTCTTGCTAGTGAACTGCAAGACCAAGTTAACTTTCTGTTCAACATAAACAAAATATTAATTCAAGGTGTGGCTGCAAGCGAACATAGAACAATGCATGTAATGA